CTTTTTTCGCGCCGTACCTAGCCAACCGCGCGAATCGGAGGTGCGGGGGAAGGGCATAAAACCAAACACAAAAAGTAGTTATAGAAATTTTAGTTTTCCAAACCGAACACCCCTTTCCTAAATGTGGTGTCAATCCACTCGTAATTACAAACATGTGCCTATCCTCACGGGGACCTGCTGTCAAGCACACAGGTACAAGCCATGCGCATGGCCCTTTACCCATTTTCATGGGGGGGGGCTTTAACACTTGAGAGAACATATCACGGCACTGGACTGGGTTCCAGTCTTATTGTAAGATCGTTTAAAGAAATGTCACAAAATGGATGCCATGTAGCGTCGTTACGTTTTACCCCCCCCCCCTCTCCGCAAGTAGCAAGTACCCAGTGGACATGTAACGTTGAGCCAACGTTGGCACGTGGCTTGAATCGTTGGCCCAACGTTGGCCCAACGTTACATATTCACTGGGTACTGTTTAAAGTACTGGGATTGTCCACTTCCACAATGCAGAGCCAGTTCGTACAATGTACATTAACACTTTTTTTTCAAATAAAATCTGTTTTTAATCGAGGAAGCGGACAGGTAGAGCCGCAGCAACCCCCAGTGCTCACGTTCGCAATTCAGTCCACATGAAGAGCCTGCCTGAGGCAGTACAGCAGGAAGGTTGCTGGCATCTGTACAGATGTTGCTCATGGAATGTTTTTGTCCCAGTGCTATGGTTTGGTCCCACGTGCAACACTAGCGATGTTAATAATGGCCAAACATCCCAATGCAGCATCATTATAAAAAAAAACAAGTCGTGACATTCGGTGAAGATTTTCTGGACAAGTCAAGAAATGTAGTATTTGTAAACAAGTAAACATGTTGCCCCAAACAAACGAGTGTGGTGCTTTGCTCGCTTCTCTTGCTGCATTGTTTAGTATAATCGTGCGTCGCATTTTTCAGTTTATCGTTAAACACCACAAGGTGGACATCGTAAACTGCAGCGGCATGGAGACTGCAGTTTTGGACGGAATGGGACAGAACTATAGGTTGATGAAATAATATGTACCATCATAATGGCTGAAAAGCGCGCGAGATGACTGGTGTGGTGTGCGATAAGAGGGTGCCAGTTTGGTTGAAGGGAAGTGTAGTGTATAATGTGTATAGTAGTGTATAGTGTAGTGTATAGTAGTGTATAGTACGAAACGGTGGTGAGGTCGGTGCTGTTGTATGGGGCCGAGTGTTTGGTGTTTAACAAGGAAGGACACGGGGGGGTGAGAAATGAAGAAGTGAGAGGAAGCCTCAATGTGCTAGAAATCACAGAGAAGACGAGAGATAGAGAAGGCTCAGGTGTGGTTCGGTCATGTGGAGAGACAACGAGCAAATCGTGTGGGTCAGAAGGTGCAAGTGATGCAAGTGGAAGGAAATAAATCAAGACAAGTAAGGCAGAAGAAGAGGTGGGGGGGAGGCGATGTGGTGCGGTTGGACCGTGGTGGCCCGAGGAGATGATGCAGGACAGGGCAGCGTGGGGAAGGTTGGCAAGGACAGCGGACCCCGACGTGAGTGGGACAGACGCGTAGAAGAAGGACAAGGATTCAAATTTACCAAAATAACCGGGGAACAGCAATCCTATGGGGTGTCCCATTTTTAGCAAACCACACTCTAACCACTGCGGTTGAAGTATGATCCAACAACCCCATCATTGCCTTGGCACGGGAGGGACTTTCATCCAGAATCGGACTGACAAATGACTCTACACTATATTGCTGCTATTGTACTTTATTTATTTTAAAAGTACTGCATTCATATTCTTGGTTCTTTCGGTAAAGTCACGTTGAAGGGAAACAATAAAATAAAAAAATAAAAAATATATAAAACAATAAAATTCTCACGACGTTTCGACTGTAACACAAACAGTCATCATCAGGTGTGATGATGATGACTGTTTTTCACACCTGTTGATGACTGTTTGTGTTACAGTCGAAACGTCGTGAGAATGTTATTATTTTATATATATTTTATTATTTTATTGTTTCCCTTCAACGCGACTTTACCGAAAGAACCAAGAATATGAATCACTGCAGTCACGAAAGCTTTAAATCAAAATTTAAGTACTGTATTGTCCATTCCTGTTCTGCATTGGAACTATAAGTTAAACATTGGTGCCACCGGGTGGTACGAGTGGAAATTGCATTGTGTATAATGCACTCCGGTATAGGTACTTGGGTCGAGATGGAAGGGTTTTTATATATTTTTGTGTCCAACAGCCTCTATAACAAACCCTCCCAAGACTCAGTATGTTGCTACAATGAACGTTAATTTAGTCAATCATTTTTTTCGTAAATTAATACTTGTCCCAACCACTTAGATGCTCGGTGATAGGTAACACATTACAAAAATGTTATTAAATACTGTAATGAAAAACAATCACGATAATAATTGACATAAATTAGGCCATACACTACTGGATGAAGGTCTCAACATAATATGCCAGTCACGGGGGGGGTTTGTTTGACCATACTTCACCACACTGGTCGTCACGGTTTCGAAATCGGTAGCCACTCACGTGATTACCCATAGCCGGGAATCAAACTCAGATTGGTGGGTTCAAAGGGCAGTCTTCGAAGAGATAAATAACTGTGTTGTGTTAACATTTACAACAGAATGTCAATGTACTACCGCGAATACGTTTTTACGGTCGTGCTGTGTATATATAGTTCGCTACGATTTCGGGTTGTACCGTGTGTTGTTCAGCATTTGTCTGTCGTTTCGCTCCCAGCACGACCTGCGTTTGATTCCCGGCACTGGAACAGCATCATTGGCGACTGATATCTGAACCAATCCCAGCCCACTCGCCACCACCACTTCGCAAACCTTCACTGACTCTAGTGCGACGCAGCCCGAAGAGACATTGAAGAAATGTCCACGTACGTTTGTAGGCTCGTTGAAATGTGCACAACTGTACAGTGCTGGCAGTGAGCCGCTGTTGTGGCCCTGAGTTGCCTCCGATGGCGTTTAAGTGGTATGGGAGTGTACGCTTCGCTAAACTGCACATGGACCCATTACCGCATCTTGGGTTTCGTTCAACTTGAAGTCGAATCCCACGCCAATTGTATTTCTGTAATTCTAATTCAATTGCAGGGCCTGTGTTAGGATGGAGTTATTTTTTTTTAAGACAAGGCAATCCACACGTCCTTTGGACGTGACTATCTGTCCCTCCTAGCCAGAAAGGCAACCAGCAAAACTTTTACTTATACAGAGCCCTGTCTCACTCGACTTTTCTCTTGCCTTGTTTATGCTGCATGTTCCAATGTATCTCAAATTCCCACGTTGTCTCCATTTCGAGTTGTTTCTCTCTTCTGGTCCATTGTTGTACCTCTCTTCCTCTATATTCCTCTCTTGCCTCCAATGTATCTCACCTACTTCCCTCGCCCCTATCTCCCTGTTTCTCTCTCTCTAACCTCTCACACTTGCTCTTCTTATTCCCAATTCTCAATTTTCCATCTCAATCTCTCTTGCGCGAGCCAGCCAGCCAGGCAGACAGGGAGTCCAGACATGAAGCCAGCCAGCAAAACGTTTTTTTTTTTTTTCTAATAAAGCATGATATGATAGTAGCAAGAATAAGGGGCTTATGTTACAAACGGTTCCAGCTGTTCTGGTTGAATAGTTTAATCTGACATTCCGTAGTGTTTGGCTGATTGTTAGAATTGGGCCATGTGCATGGCTCAATACTAACATTATTTGATCTTGCCACCATAGGCCACTTCTGTCATCTTAAGCTTTAGGTGACTTTACGAGCTTCCCAGGTAGCTCAAAGGTAAGAACACTGAGCTGGCACTGTACTTCTGAAATCCTGGGTTCAAGCTGGCCCGTATGTGTGTATGTATGCACGTACGTTGAACTTCTTTTGCACTGGATGTAGCCAACCGTGCTAATCGGAGGTGCTGGAGCAAGGACAACAAGCAAAACACACAAAAAAAGCAGTTCTAAAGAAATTAGTTTTCGATCTAGATTTAAAAGTGCATACAGTGGTACCCCGGAGATCGAACTTAATTCGTTCCAGAAGGCCATTCGAACACCGATTTGTTTGAACACCCAATTAATTTTCCACATAATAATTAATCTAAATTACATTAATTGGTTCCAGACACAAGAAATCTCTCATTATAAAGCATTTTTACACGAAGTTTATAGTAATTACATGCATAATATCGTACAAAAAAACAAGAAACACAATAAATAAATGGGGCAAGAAATGTTCGGAAATATCGTTGGAACACCGATTTGTTCGAGTTCTGGTGCGTTCGATCTCCGAGGTTCTACTGTATCTAGATTTACAGGTCAGTGTGAGTTAAAAAAGTTGGGGGGAGCTGGGAAGGAGGGAACGGTGCAGGTCTGGTTTAGATGCCACATGCCACTGATATGAATGTGGCCAGGAATCAAACTTAGGTGGCACATTCATGGTGTAGTGCACTTACCACTGCACCGCCACTTCCTCCAGTGAATGGTTTGTAGGGTTATAATTCATGTTTCCCTTGAATAAGAATTCGGTTAAGTGACACTGATAAATGAACAGATATTTTCTTTTATGTAAACATTCCCTATACAATGGCATTTTGTTCAAGTGCAATTAGTATTTTAATTTAACCTTCTTTACATTGAATGGTTAAAACTCGTATTACATTTTTGGCTGAACTGTGCTCCATCCATGTAGATGGAATGTTTATGCCAATAACATCTGGCAACCCAGCAACATTTGTTTAAAAAAGGCTGACTCTGCTGATGAGACCCAGGAGGTCAAAACTATTCCAGAGTTTGCTTGTTTAAACAAATACTCCTGGATTTAATTTGTCTGCAAACCAGTGGGTTGACGGACAACAAAAATGAAATAAAAAATGTTATACGAAGAGACAAATGGCTGTCTCTGTATTCTACCATTCAATTGTAAAAATCATCAACGGTACGCAGAATATACCTCCCACGTTTCTCGACCACCCTCGACTTAGAAACAACGGCGCAACTCACGGGAACTTGATGTGGATGAATGCCCTGGAGGCAAGGAAACCGCCGAGCATGCACACACCGCCCAGAGAGAGGCACAGGTAGCGGTGCAGGCGTGAGAGAGAGGGCTTTTCAGCTGCCAACATCAGCAGCAAGCCCAGGCCTCCCACACAGAACAGCATGCCGGCAGCCAGCCCTTCCAAGATGTACTGCGAATGTAGGCTGCAAGATGGACCGCAAACAAGCACATGAGTGAACTTTGAAGACCTTTGCTTTATGGATGTGCGTTGTGTGTAGAGTTTTTGTTCAGGATTTTATTATTTTGCCAGTGGGGAGCCGCCGTTGAGGTTCCGTAATTATCGCGTGTTTCATGAGTAAATAGTTGAAGAGAGCTCAAATAAATGCCAGGTGTGGGAACCGAGTTGAGAAACAAACTCGAGACAAATAAGTGACTCCAAAGTACAAGCGAGGAAACGTACAAATCCCAGTATTGTTTAAGACGCTGGTAATCACACAAATGACGCCGTTCGGTTGCCACTGACCTGTTAGCCTTGAAGACAATGGGGCGCTGGTGTCCGTGAGCATCAATCCTGCTCCCTATGCTCGGAGGTTCGTGAATGATGTCATATATCACGCCTGCAAATCGACCGAGGGTCAAGTTTGTGTTTCAGAAATATGAACAGTCGAAAACAACAGGTAATCATGATGCTTTGATATTTGCGACGTACTGTTGTAACTCTTTGACTCTTTCGGTAAAGTCACATATAAAGAAAATAAATTTAAAAATAGAATTCGACGTTTCGATTGCAACGCAAGCAACCGTAATCAGGTATGAAAGAATGAGAAACCAAACCGAGTAAACTTAGAAATGCTTTTGTACCTGATGACGGCTGCTTGTGTTGCAATCGAAACGTCGTATTCTATTATTTATTTTATTTTCTACGTGACTTTACCGAAAGTACCAAAGAGTAATTCCTGCAGTCACGAAAGCTTCAAATCAAGTTTGATACTGTTGTAATTTAATAGATTCGGCCTCTCAACATACTATGGTCAGTAAGAATAGTGCAACATTGTACAAAATATGTATTTATAAAGTGGCTTTCCTATGAGACCGGCCTTTGTGATCAAAAATAATTCCCACCATTGGCTCAGGATTACAGAGATAAGACCTCTTACAACGCTTGCATAAGACAAGTGACACTAACTTGAAAATAAAATCTGAATTTTCATTGAATGACCTGTAATTACTATAGCTCTAACGTATATATATATTTTTACATTATAACATTTCAACTTTTAACACAATTGCAGTGTTTATCCTAAGCGAAACAAAATATAAACAAATAGGAAATTATACTCTTTGGTTCTTTCGGTAAAGTCACGTGGGTATAAAAATAATAGATCACGACGTTTCGATCGCAACACAAGCAATCGTCATCAGGTGGGACAACCACTTCAGCAGTTTTTTTTTCTTGCTGTGGTTGTCCCACCTGATGACGATTGCTTGCGCTGCGATCGAAACGTCGCGATCTATTATTTTTCAACCTACGTGACTTTACCGAAAGAACCAAATAGTATGGATTCCTGCAGTCACGAAAGCCTCAAATCAAAATAGGAAAGTGTATTAGACTGCGGATAAGCGCCACTTCTGCGGAGTGGAGATTGCACGCGCACAGCACAGACGCACCTGATACAAGCACGAAGTAACCGATCATAGTTGCGATGAACGCAGTCGTCGCAGAAGGGATCACCAGCCAGCCGGGCTTCTTTATCCGAACCCTCGGCCACTCTATGACTTGTCCCACCATTGTCCTGCAGCGAAGCAAAGCACAACGCCTGTGAGTAAAGGCGTGTCGTCTGGTAGTGTGGAGTGTCGTGGTGAGCGCTCCGCGCTACGACCCCCCCCACCCCATCCGAGTTCGATTCCCGCTCAAGGCCACGAACACCAGTGACGATTTTCTGACCTCCCCGAGGTTGACTCAGCCTCAACTGAATACCTGGTGCAGTGTGTAAATATCGCCCCTCGTGTACCGTTCCGGCATTAATAAATGCTCGCTAACAGCACTTGTCCCAAAAGTATGTTTAGGCTATACTGTATGGGGGGGGGGGGGGGGGGGGTCTTTGTCTTTGGTAGGTGAAAATACGTAAAGGTGCAGCCTCGCAATTGCTTGTTCACAGCCACTGCAGGTGGACGGGCCTCCACTAGAGCTAATTACGGAGGTTATTTGAGCCACTCATCAACATTTCATACGATATGTTGGAAGAGGTAGGTGTTACCCACACTTTAACCCATCACGTACGCCCTGCCAATTGACTAACCTGTGGAGCGCCAATTTCTACTGCTGGGTGGATAGAGGTCGGTGGGGATTTGAATTTCAACTGCAGGATGACGACCCCTGGGTTGCAAGCACTGTGTGCTAAACATTTTGCCATGGCAGCTCACTTGGCTGGTGGGCTCACAGAGCTAATGTGATGCATATTGCAGACCACCGAGTCTCTGGCTCAAAACCCAGGAGTCCACCAAAGACAAAAAAAAACAAATCCTCATGTTAGACCATTTGACTTTTTTCAACTGAGCTGAATATCAGTACAAATATAAAACTGAAAATGTGGGTTTGGTACGTAATGTTTTATCCATTAGAACCCCAGATGTGTGGGCCAGTCTTGCATCAACTACAAGATCACGCTCACCCTCTTCCAGACCCTCCGTGAACTCGCGCGACCTGTGGCGTACCAAATTTACCTCTTCCCTCCCTAACCAACGCCGCGTGCCACCAGCTCCAGCAACCATCTAAGCCCCCGTTGAACCTTCGCTCTGTGGGTGGTCACTGCTTCTCTGCTGCTGCCCCTGCTATCTGGAACTCCCACCATCAGGCCGTCTGCATTACTGACTCCATCCATCGTTTCAAGTCGAAGCTTTAAAACGTTCCACTTCTCCTCTGCCTATGACTGACCTTGTGCATCTGTCCACGTGTTTTGATCGGCCCTGATAAGACATGCGTTAGACGCCTGCTCCCATAAGGTTTCCCTTCACCGTAATAACATGTTTCCCTTGTTATTTGTCCGCTGTAGAATAACGCTAAACTCGTTTTCTAGATTAAAAACTCATTTCTTCACAACTGCTTTTTATTGTCTTTCCCCATGCACCTCCGATTAGCACGGTTGGCTACATAACGGTGCGAAATAAGTTCCACATACATACGATACGCGTGTCTTTATGTTTTCTCTATAAAGTCTTGAGAAGTGATCACATTTGGACGCTTTATAAGTACAAATTGTGTTTCGTGGCTAAAGCGCTTTAGATGGAATATGTACGGATATCACGCAAAGTCTGGATTTTTTTGCAAGAAGCCAACATATGGCTCAGCTGTTGTTGCGGTCCTCGGTGACAGGATTCAACACCCAGCATGGAAATACAAAAAGCAATGCAAAAAAAAGTGCCAAAAAATTAATTGCAACATTTTACAACAATGCACAGCTCATATTTTCCACGCGAATGAACGTTACTTTGATACTTGACCACACACTTAAAACAACACTCTCGATTAAAAAGCCAATTGTCATGGATGTTTTGCAACAATTATCTTTACATTGTACCCCTACCAAAAATGATTATCCGACATTCGTAAAAGCTCAAACACCATTACGCCTTCAATGTGCTCTTGTCGACGAAACTTCTCATTAGTCAAACATTGTCTTTTTTTAACATCCTCATATATCAACAACACCGTTCGTGTCTATTCCTTTGCTTCATGTTAACGCAACAAGCTTCACTCGGCTCACCTGTCCGCACAGAGGCACTCGGCTGGTGGGAAACAGTGGTCTTTGTGTTCTCGCCGTTAAATGTACGGGACGAGCTCTCTCTTTCTCTTTACACGCACGTGACGCTGACTGGGACACGTCCGCTTATCGGTGATAATAAAGCATTAGCAACAGGTGCGTGTATTCGCACGAACATAATGTAACGTGTGCTCTGTCGTGACATTTTGAGGCTACTCTCCCTAAGCCTGTGAGTCCACCTTTGTCCATGAGAGGGCACTGTTGGTGTTACGGCCAAGGGTCACGTGTACATCATCCCCTCGTTATTCAGCGAATTTCCTCAATTTAACACGTAAATAATCGATTAAATACGTGAAGTGTATCATAACACAAATACATTTTTTTGTTAAAATAAGCATAACGTAAATACAAAATTCAGTATTAAATAATAGTTTATAAATGAACTTTCTCTCTCGATGAAGTCGTCGAGTGGAGTTCGAAATGTGATTTGCGGATAGCCAAAATCGCGGATAGAAAGTTTGTGAATAACGATGGAATACTGTACGTACAGTGATCTATTAAAGTGTATAAACAAAGGTTCCACGGGCTTATTTGTCACTGGATATTTATCGGGTTACTGGTAGACTGGATGTAGTTGGATTGGTATGCTGTAGAGATGTACTGGATGTGGTGTTCTGGGTGAGCGAAATGTTAACTACCTCGCCTGGTATACAGGAGATTGTGGGTTCAATCCCGACCGTGACGCATGTACACTTTTTAGTTTGCGTTTCTCTCTCCATGGTCGCGCGGATTTTTCTCCGGGTCGTCCCGGTTTTCCCTCGACATTTAGAAACATGCTTTTAGAGTATTTGGCTGCTATACATTTCCACATGATAAGCCACTTCGTTGAGCTATCATTTGTGGCCAGGTCGCTTCTGTAAAAGAGCTGTATAGCTCAGTGGGCCTTACCTGATTAAGTAAAAAAATATATAGTTTCGTTTTAAATTGTTTAGTTTTAACTGCAGCATGAATTGTGAACACATCGCATTGACTGCACCTCATGAAATATTGGAAGCTGAGCATATTTGAGCCTGGTTATATTACTTGGATAGGAGGCTGTCTGGGAATATCAGGTGTTGTTGACTTGGCCTGCAACGTGGGCTTTCATATTTTTTGGATTTATACCAGATACTCCGGTTTCCTCCCACTTACAAAAACACACGGTGATGGATTATTATTATTTTTGTTGAGGTATTCATATGGGCGAAGAATTGTTATGGTATTACCATATTACAGTACTATATCCGGGACAGAGGTTAAGTGTTGATGAAACGCAGCCAACTAAAGTTAACCTTCATGGCCAGAAAAAAATCTCGAGACCTTTATCAGTCCCTGAGGGAGCTTCCCCCATCACGTGAAGCGAACCGTCGGACATCGTACCGAACAACGCACAGCGGGTAAAAACCCGAAAACACTTGGGAGAGCTGTGTTCGGCACGACCGCTAATTTCTACGGAAGTGGCTGTTTCAAGGTGCAGCTGCGAATTTGAATTCGCACTGTAAGGCTGTCACACTAGGAAACAAAAATTTAATGCAAAAAATAACAGAAAAATCCACCAGCATGTGCTGTGGATGCACCTGAGCAGGAAACTCTTTAGCACGAACTCGCACAACTGGAGACAATAAATGCATTAAGCTCAGGGAACACAGGGTATTATTGAACTCAAGGGACCTGGGAGACATTATTAAATTCAGGGAGCTCAGCATTATGGTTTGGAGCTGCCGTGCTCACAACTGTAATGTAAAGATTTATGCAACTTTATGAATGATCACAATACAGGGATGCAATTCGATTAATACTAACTTTTGTAATCCAGTTTTTACCACCTCATTTGTTTATCTCTGTCTTGTTGTTTGCATAGTCTTATTCACTCCATAGCCAAAAGGTACCATTTGCATTCATTTGTCCAAATATCGGAAGCTGACAATTCTCATACGCGTCGATTGATGTAAAGTGTTGTGAGCCTCAAGAATAAACATGAATCATGTCTGCAGTGGGTGATCACATGGCCGAGTCACCTGTCGGAGATTCCAGTGACCACCCTGAGTATTTTTTAAACTATTAACGATTTTTATTTTGCCGGGTAAGGCCCACTGAGCTATGTAGCTCTTCTTGAGAAGCAACCTGGCCACAAATATCAGTTCAACGAAGCGGCTTATCGCATGGAAATGTACAGCAGCCAAATACTCTGAAAGCACTTTGATTCTAAATGTGGAGGGGAAATCCTGAGGACCCGGAGAAAAATCCACGTGACCACGGGGAGAAAATGAAAATTCCAGATATACAGCTGTCAGGGTCGAGATCGAACCCACGACCATCCTGTATACTAGGCGAGGTATTCAATTTTTAGCCACCGTGGCTTTTCATCTCGCCGCATTACATATCCCCTGACGTTATTCGCAAGAGTATGTCATTGTGTGCCAGTGCCAGCATTCAAATACAGCAAATTTGAATATTACCCGCTAATTACAGTACTCAAAAGGGGTTATACATAGCAATAATCACCCCCCAACTGCCAGACCAATGTCCAAAGTCACGCTTGTAAATTAGACTACCCTCTTCTCACCTGGTTAAACAAATTAAGCTCCAACACCCCAGGTAATGATCACACACGTGGCTTCTACGATCCATTGGACCACTGCACAAATACAGTTCTGCAATGATCCTGTAGATGGCAGTAACACAACACCTTACGTTCCGAAAGCTGCGACTGGCATAATAAAAACAAAGACAAAATACAAAGATCCCCCGTGTAGTCTTAGCAGACTATTGGGACAAGTGCTGTTAGCGAGCACCTATGAAGGCCGGCACGGCACACGAGAGAGTGGGTGGCCAGCACCACGCCCGGCCGCCTTTGTCTCCCTCGTGGTGATGTTTCCCCACCGCACCAGGTACT